GCGTATTTCTAGTCTGTCCCCTGCTGTCTTTTCTTTCAGAATCAGTGAACCATCTGTGTAAAACTACCCCCACATAATAAGTTCCTCTTTTTCAGTTTCTTCCCCTTTTATACCTTAAACCCATAAATTCTGTCTGCCTTGCAAGCCCTTGAGGTCTAGAAACAGATGTTCTACTTTGTTTTTTGTTTTTTGTTTTCCCCCTCATGTGGGAAGTTTAGTCTAAAAATACCTAGTCAGACATTCTGGGAACATAGTTCTCATTTGCATTTTTAAATAGTACTTCCCAGTTCATTGACTTAAACCTCAGTGGTCCCAGGCCACTCATCTATGTCCCGGAAGGCCAGAGCTCCTGCACTGCCTTACCCCCACCGTTTCTGTTCTCTTTGATAAACACAAAACGTAGGTTTATTTTATTCTATTCTTGATAAATATAATGTAGCAATAATGAGTGAGAACATGGGGTCTGCCCAGGTACACAAGACTATTCCAATTAGTTAATCTTATGAGCCTCAGTGTTCTCATCGATAAAATGGGTCTAATAAAGAAAACTCCTTTATGTAGAGTCTTTAAGACTTTTTTTTTTATCCTCACCCGAGGACATTTTTCGATATTTTGTTCAGATACAGTGGGAAGGAGAGAGAGAGAGAGAGAGAGAGAGAGAAACATCGATGTGAAAGGGACACATGGAGTGGTTACCACCTACATGACCCAACCAGGGCCAGGGACAAACTGCAACCGAGGTATGTGCCCTTAGCAGGAACTGAACCTGGGTCTCTCTGGATCACAGGCCACCGCTCCAACCGCTGAGCCAAACCGGCCAGGGCAGTCTTTAAGTCTTTTTACATAAACAATCATAATATCTGTGAGGAAAAACAACAGTTTTAATTATTTCTTTTCAAACTCTATGTCTTTTGGGTTTTTTTTTTTCTTGTCTTATTGCACTGGCTAGGAATTCCTGCAAAAGATTAAATGTATTAGAGGTGGATCTTGCCTTGTTTTTGATCTTCAGGGGAAAACGTATGTTTTTCCCCATTAATTATGATATTAATATATACATAACCAATGGACACAGACAACAGTGTGGAGAAAGTGGGAGGAGTGGGAGTGGGGGTCAGCAAGGGAAAAGGGGGGCATTTATAATACTTTCAACAATAAATATTTTTTAAAAGTGATCACCTAAAAAAATAATATTAGTTATGGTTTCTGAAATTTCCTTATATTTCTAGTTTTCTGTGCATTTTAAAAAATCATTAATAGATATTGAATTTTGTTAAGTGCTTTTTCTAATCTATTGGATGATCATATTTTTTTACTTTTAGTTTGTAATATGATAAGTACACAGATTGGTTTTTGAATGATAAACTAACCTTGCATTCTGTGATAATCCCCACTTGGCATTATGTATTATCTTTTTAATAGATTGCTGGATTTGATTTGGTAATTTTTTAAGGCAGTTTGTATGTCTATGTTCACAAGTGCTATCAATCTGTAATTTCAATTTTTGTGATGACTTTGTCAGTTTAATATCAGGGTTATGTTGACTTTATAAAATCATTTGGCAAGTGTTAAAAGAAAAAAGAAAAAGAAAACGCCTTTACAGAGTCATTGTAAGAATTAAGTAAACTGTCCATATGGAGGGTTCAGAATCATGTCTGGTATAAAATGATTGCTCGTGACATGTTTGCTGATATTTTTACTGCCTCCTCCAATTCTTTCTCCATGATCTGTTCATGCAGATATATTTTAGACAAAAATCTGATTATGATAGGCTTACATTTAAAACCTTTTCCATTATCTTGAGGATAAAATCTCAATGCCCATACAAAGGAAACTTTGGAAAGAAACTCCATCTCTCTGTCCGTCTGTCTCTCTCTCTTTGAAAAGTAGATCTAATAGTAGCCTCAGTGTTAACATTGAAAAGGTATAGCAGCATTATTTATAATAGCTAAGAACTGAAAACAGCCCAAGTGTCCATCAGTAGATGAGTGAATAAAAAAGTTGTGGTACATTCACACAATGGAGTACTAGGTGGCCGTGTAAAAGAAGGAGCTCTTAGTCCTTGAGACGACATGGATGAACATGTAGATTATTATGCTAAATGAAATAAGCCCGTCAGAGAAAGACAAATATCACGTGATATCACTTATATGTGGAATCTCATGAACGAAATAGGTCTAGAGGCATGGATACATGGAACAGACTGACAGATCTCAGAGGGGAGAGGGGTGGGGCGATGGGAAGAGATTAACCAAAGAACTTATATACCAATATAAGTGCTTAACCAATGGCCATAGACAACAGAGGGGGTATGCCAGGGCTGGAGGAGGAGGCAGAGAGGGGGAAATGAGGAACATTTGTAATATTGTCAACAATAAAAAAATGAAACCCTGGTGGATGTGTCTCAGTTGGAGTGTCTTTGCATGCACTAGAAGGTCATGGGTTCAACTTCTGGTCAGGGCACATACCTAGGTTTCAGTTTCCATTCTGATCAGGGCGTGTTAGGAAGCAACCAATCTATGTATGAGTCTCACGTTGATGTTTCTCTCTCTCTTAGGTCAATAAAAAATAAAAATATAGATCAACTAGACTATAATGAGATTTGGAAATTTCATTCTTCAACATACACCAGGAAGAGAGTAACACCTCAGCTAGTCGAGCAGATACCGACAATGAGTAGATCTGAACAAAGAACTCATGCACAGCAAGGACGTAGAAAGCTCCCTACTGTTCAGTTAAAAAAAAGATAGTCTAGCCCTGGCCGGTTTGGCTCAGCGGTTAGAGCGTCGGCCTGCGGTCCGGAGAGACCCGGGTTCAGTTCCCGCTAAGGGCACGTACTTCGGTTGCAGTTTGTCCCCAGCCCTGGTTGGTCGTGCGGTGGCAGCTACTCGATGTGTCCCTTCACATCGATGTTTCTCTCTCTCTCTCTCTCTCCCTCCCACTCTATCTGTACAAAAAGTGGAAAAATATCCTCGGGTGAGGATTAAAAAAATAAAAAATAAAAAAGATAGTCTAGCCCAGCTGGTGTGACTCAGTGGATTGACTGTGATCCCAGGGACTGAGAGGTCCTGGTTTGATTTTCAGTCAGGGCACATGCCCAGGTTTTATGCTCGATCCCCAGTAGGGGGAGTGCAGGAGGCGACCAATCAGTGTTCTCTCTCATGGGTGTTTCTCTCTCTCTCTCTCCCTTCCTGTCTCTCTGAAATCAATAAAAACATATTTTAAAAAATGTTCTTTTCTTAATTGACATTTTTTAGAGAGAGAAAGAGATAGAAACATTGATTGGCTGCCTCCTGAATGCCCTCCCCAAGGGATCGAGCCCACAACTTGGGCATGTGCCCTGGCCAGGAATTGAACCAGCAACCTCTTGGTGCTTGGGTCAACGCTCAACCACTAAACCACATAGGCCGAACTCAATAAAAACATATTAAAAAACAAACAAACAAACAAACAAAAACAAGCTCACAGATATATATGTGGTAGCACTACATTTACAAAAAAGCAAGGAAAAGTTGAGCACAGATTTGGGATGTCGTCTCGTTGAGGTGGGGACATGCCGGGGCAGGACAGGACACACCACAGACACTGCTTCTATTTGATCAATTTTCTGGTGGTTGATTTCACAAAGTGGGGGCAGGGAGCCTTCTTGATGTTTTCTGTTTCATTTCCTCTACACTGGCCTTTGGATACTAACCAGCAGCATGAGGGTAAGTGTAACAACCCTGTGTGTAGCATCTGTGGTGTAAATACTGAGACCAGGGCTGATTTCAAGCTACCAGAGTAGCATCCTGAACGTGGAACTGGGAAGGGTTGTCCACAGTCAGGTGTCAGTAGCCGGTTTGAGTTTCTTGGCCACAGCTCACCAATGAGTGTAGCATTAAGTGGAAACTGTATTAATTCAAAGGCCTGGGTCTGTAGGGCTAGCTCCTCTCATTCTCTCTCTCTCTCTCCCCCCCCCCATAAGTAAAAATATATTTTAAAAAATAATAAAGTTTTTTTTTCCTTTATTGATTTTTAGAGAGAGAGGAAGTGAGAGGGAGAGAGAGAGAGAAACATCGATGAGAGAGAACATCGATCGGCCGCCTCCTGCATGCCCCCCACTAGGGGTTTGGTCCACAACCTGGGCATGTATCTTGACCGGGAATCGAACTGGTGACCTCTTGGTGCCTGGGTCAATGCTCAACCACTGAGCCACACCGGCTGGACTATAGGGCCATCTTAAAGAAAAATAAAGGTGCCTTGGCCGGGTGGCTCAATTGATTGGCGTGTTGTCTCATACACCAAAAGGTTTTGGGTTTGATTCCTAATCAGGGTACATACTTGGGTAGTGGGTTTGATCCTCTGTCAGGGTGTGAATGGGAGGCAACCAATTGATGTGTCTCACATCGATGCCTCTCTCTCTCCCTCCCTCCCTTCTCCTCTCTCTAAAATTCTAAAATCAATACACACATCCTCGGGTGAGGATTGAAAAAAATTCTAGTTGGAATACTCATTTGAATTTGTGTGTTGGAATTTTTTGTTGTTGTTGTTGTTATGTGCCCCTAGCGGGAACCAAACCCAGGACTCTCTGGTCCACAGACCAACGCTCCAACCACTGAGCCAAACCGGCCAGGGCGTGTGTTGTGCGTTGTAATTTTTAAAATTTTACCAGGATAATCTAGTTTCTGTTCCGTTGGTAAAGGAATATGGTATGCTATACTAAGACCTAGTTAAGGGAAGGAAGAAAGTTAAAAAAAAAAAAAAAATTAAGCTTAGATATGAGCTTAGCATTTCGTAAGACCAAGCTGTGCCCATTCGGTAGAGGCTTAGGGCCCGGCCGTCCTCCTGTCTGGCGCTCGCTGGGAAATGAGGGTTGCCGAAGACAGCCTTGGGTCTCCCGCAGCCATTTTCCGGGAAGTGGGGCTCCTTTCTCAGCCCCAGCCTGGGGAAAGTCAGAGACCTCCGCGGAAGGAAAACTGCCTACTGGCTGTATGCGTCATTTCTGTTTAAACTGCGGTGTGGAGGCCAGTACGCCACATCCTGTACACTGGTTAGTCTTATGGGCATCCTGCTTTGAGTGCAGCTGAAGTATTTTGCAATACCCTCACTCATCACCCGTGTGTCCAGACAAGGAAGAGCGGAGAGGGATAATCCCGTCCAGAAGACAGGGCCTGCCACGACTCAGGGCTGGCGGTGGGTGCCGCCCGCCCAGCTTTAGAGCCACGACGACCCACAGTCCCTGACAGCCTGGGCTTCAGATGAAGGTGGGTCAACAATCATGAGGTCTTCCTGTCAGGTTTCATCAAGGCCTAAGGGATCTGGATGCAAGTGGTGAGTTGACCTCAGCCAGGGCTGGACACCAAGGGTCTCCGGGCAGGGGGACGGACCTGCAGAGGACTGGGCCAGTTTGCATGACTTGGAGAGGGCTTTGTCTTTGAGTCTCTTAAAAACACCAAGACGCTGAGAACCCTGGGCATCGCAGGAGCTGATTCCATCCTAGAGACCCCATTGCAGACATTCCTATTTAGCTGAGCCAAGACCCACAGTTGTAACATGTGCATGGGCCCAGGATCCGACTGGAGAGCCCCGGTCTGTCCACGGGGGTCATTACCCCGTCGCAGTCCCAGGAGGAGGGCTGGTCAGTGTGAGTGGCCACGCTGGGGTATTTTTAGAATATTCTAAGTATCCTGATGCCATGTCATCTTATTTTAAAAATTCAGGTATAGCCCTGGCCGCTTTTGTTCAGCGGTTAGAGCGTTGACCTGTGGGCCAATGAGTTATGTGTTCAATTCCGGTCAAGGGCGCGTACCTCGGTTGCAATTCGTCCCCGGCCCTGGTGGGGGTTGTGCGGGAGGCAGCCACTCAATGTGTCCCTTTCATGTCGATGTTTCTCTCTCCCTCTGTCTCTGTTCCTCTCCCTCCCTCCTGCTCTATCTGAACAAAAATGGAAAAATGTCCTCAGGTGAGGATTAAAAAAAAAAAAATTCAGGTGTAATTGACATAGAACATCGTGTGAGTACAATGTGTTGATTTGAAGCATTTATATTGCAATATAATTGTCATTGTAGGTGCAGGGGCACAAACACCTCCCTCACCCCTGGTTCTGCCCTTTCTCCCAGCACCCATCTGGTTGTCCCATGTGGCCCCAACCCCAGACCCAGCTCCCACAGTCTCTCTCCTGACCGTCCAATCCCTTAGGACTTTGCATTTGCTAATGTGTCCCCCAACCCTCTCTTGCCAGCAGCCGGGAGGGGAGGGGGATGGGAAAAGAACTCATGCTAGCAGAATGTAACGGTGTTGTTAATCCTCACCCAGAGATATTTTTCCATTGATTTTTAGAGAGAGTGGAAGGGAGAGAGGGAGGGAGGAGGAGAGAGAGAGAGAAACATCGATGTGAGAGAGACACATCAATTGATTGCCTCCCACACGACCCCCGACTGGGGTCCGGGCTCGAACCTGCAACCCAGGTACGTGCCCTTGACCGGGAATCGAGTCTGTGACGCCTTTAGGCCACAGGCCAATGCTCTAATTGCTGAGCCACACCGGCCAGGGCAGCAGGATATTTTTAATGCGCTCAGTAGCTTGCTGGACACTCAACGTAACGTTAGCTACTTGGAGGGAGACCGGAGGCTTCCCATTTCAAATATGAGGACACGTCAGCGCAGAGTGGCGCAACGCCTTGCCCAAGGCCAGGTGGCTAGCCGGCGGAGTTGGAACCGACCTGGAAGTCGGTTGGTGACCCACATCCATGCTTTGCTTCACCCAGTGGGTTCAAGTGAGGTCCCTACTCAGGGGTTCATCTCAAGACGAACTCGGATGAGTTCAGCCTCATCCGTGCAGGGGAGCAGGGGGGAAAGAAATCGTTTTGGGGATTTGGGGAGCTACCCCCCCACACCCCGTCTCATTAGCGGGAGACGGGGAAAGGACCGGAGAGAGCGCTTCCTCTTTGCTCGAGGATGTTGATGTGGCAACTTGGAGACGGCCCCCAACCAACACGTCCTGTTCACTGTGTTAGCTGCAGGCCCTGTCTTTCCACCCTCTGACTTCAGGATGGTGCAGGCTGCAGGGCTGGCCGTGTGTCCCCGTCCCACCACCCTCCTGGCCCTCGGTGAGTCCTAGAATAGAGGGACCGTATCCCAGGGACAGAGAGGGTGGTAGCTTAGGTAGTCTGCATTCCTGCTCAGTTTTGACTCTGGTCCAGGAGACTCATGGTCCCCCCTGGGGAAGGGGGGGTTCTGTCCGCTCAGCTCTGGCACAGACCTAAGTCTTTCCATGGAAGGTTCAGTCCTAGGAGCAGGTACCTGGGTATGGGGACAGGGTCTACCTGACTGGAAGAGGTGGTTTGGGATTCGTGTGGAAACTCAGAGCGAGAAGACTGTGCTCGGGGGTCATGCCGAGGACGGGGTGGTGTGGAAACCCTCAGAGGCTGACCCCGCTGCCTCCACCAAGACCCTGTGACAGCAGCCCCGGGAGGAACTGGATGCTGGGCATTTATCTCACTAGATGTTTCCTTCCAGTGCTCTGTCTCTGCCAGACCATCTACATGCAGGAGGGTGAGTCCACATTTTGTTGTTGTTGTTTTGTGATATTTTGCTTTCTTGTTGATCCTCACCTGAGGATATTTTTTTCCGTTGACCTTTTAGAGACTGGAAGGGAGGGAGGAAGCGTGCACACACGCAAGAGAGAGAGACATCGGTGTGAGAGAGACACATTGATGGGTCGCCTTCCGCATGCGCCCCGTCCGGGGCCAGGAACTGGGCCTGCAGCACAGGTACGTGCCTTCGACTGGGAATCGAACCTGCAACCCTTTGGTGCACGGGCTGACGCTGTAAACACCAACTCTGGCCAAGGCTACCTTTTTTAATTTAGTTTTTCATACATGTTTTATTTTCAGGCAACACAGTAATTTTCCTTAGCGTCCCTCTGAGGGTGTCTCTTGAGCTAGAATGAGACCCAATGTCCCTTTTTGCCCGGATCTGTCTGTTCTAGGGCCCTCGGGCTCACCTCCAGAAACCTGACCTTTCTCTCCCTTTCACAAACCCCCAACGGAGACTTCCTCCCAGGCTGATATCTCCGGCTTGGCTAATTCACACTTGGCTGTCTGGTCTCAGCTGAGCACCTCTCCGCTCTGACTCTGGGGCGAGGTCAGCTCTGCCCCCCTCGGCCCCGGGGCTCCCACACTCACCCCAGGGCACGTAGTAGAGAGGGTGGCTCTGGGTTTGCACTGTTCCCTCATCAACCTCTGTGCTCCCTCGACACCTCCAGCCCAAGAAGGCAGGAAACCCTTGTGTGTTTCTCCTACTTACGGAGAGATAGGAGCTAAGATAGGGTGAAGGAATGAGCAAATCAGCCCTGGCCGGTTTGGCTCAGCGGTTAGAGCGTCGGCCTGCAGACCAGAGAGACCCCGGTTCGGTTCCCGCTAAGGGCACATACCTCGGTTGCAGTTTGTCCCCGGGCCCGGTTGGGATCATAGGGGTGGCAGCCACTTGATGTGTCTCTCTCACATTGACGTTTCTTTCTTTGTCCTCCTCTCTCCCTCCTGCTCTATCTGAAGATAAGTGCAAAATGTCCTCGGGTGAGGATAGGAAAAAAAAAGAGAGAGAAGGAATGAGTGAATGAGCGACGGAAGGAGTGAATGAATGAGTGCCGCCTCTCGGCCAGCTCTGCCTCTCTCGGGGATTGCGTAATTGCGTAACTTGGACGCGATCTTCCTGTTTCAGGGTTACGAACCCTCTCTTTCCCCTACCCCAGCCTAGTTTAGACACTAGGGGTTTTCAGGAACCTCAGTAACAAGGAAATGTAGATAGGCTGAGAGGAAGACAGAAGGTGCAGAGGGAACCACAGATGAGTCCTCCTCGGAGGATGTGCCTGTGGTCAGGAGTCCTCACCCAGTGGGGTCCTGGGAGCGGATCTCAGCTGGACTTCCAGGCTCCGCCGCCCCCGTGGGACCCCCCAGCTCCCCTAGCTGCCCTTCAGACCCGGCCCAGACCATTCCCACCGCCTCAGACACCTGCTTCCCTGTCCCCACGAATGGCCTGTCATCGCTCGGGCGCCTCCCACGTCACGCCGAGACTAGCCCACCGTGTGAGCAGGACTCAGGTCCTTGTGTCCCACGGGGGAAGTTGCTCTGCCGTGACGAGGCGTCAGTCACCGGCGCGGGCAAGGGGAGGGAAAGGACGGTGGAAATGTTCTAGAATTGGATTGTGGCGATGGTCGCACAACTCCGTAAGTTTGTGAAAAACCATTGACATGCAAGATTGAAACACGGGAATGGTGGGTGTGGAGACCTCCTTACAGTGCGCCCTGAGGTTCTGCTCTGCTTCTTCCCAGGGGTCCTGCCCAAACCCTCCATCAGGGCCGAGCCGGGCCCTGTGATCCCGCGGGGACAGCCAGTGACCATCGTGTGCCAGGGCCCAGCTGGGGCTCAGGTGTTCCGCCTGGAAAAGAAAGATGGAAGCCTTCTTCACGAGGATCAACGTGTTTCACAGGAGACACAGGCCAGATTCCACATCCCTGCAGTGAGTGATCACACTGCCAGGCCTTATTACTGCTCCTATAGCAAAAACTCCCGCTGGTCTGAGCGCAGTGAGCCCCTGGAGCTGCAGGTGACAGATGAGGACGTCTCCACTCGGCCCTCAGGTTTGTCCCAGGTCCCTGCACCCAGTTCCCAGCTGCGTCTCTGTCCTCAGGCCCCCTGCCCCCCTGCAGACCCTCAGCCCAGTGGCCCCTGCCCCTCTGCACACATGACCCTCGACCTTCACACCTGGCTCAGGGCCCTGGAGCCGTGGTCCCATCTGGACAGCTGGACCCCATGGTGGCCTGGACACTGAGCCCCAGCATCACAGTGGACACAGAGCTGGCCCTGCTGGGCTGGGTGGGGAGTGGCCTTCCAGAGACCAGCTGGGGACAGACCCCGTTCAGGGGGACATGTGTCCTTTCCCTCAGGATGGTGTTAAACCTTCCTTTCCACTGGGCCAGACCCTGTGGCCCAGGCGATGTGTGCCCTGGGGTCCACCCTCCACTGGGCAAGTCACGTGGTCCACGGGCCTGACCAGGGCTAGACGGTGCTTTGAGGGATTTGGGGGATGAAGCTGTCTGTCCCCTGTGTGTGGTCAGCCCCTGAGACCTCCTTGACTCAGGGTTCGTTGGGGATGCTCAGATCCCCATCCATGTCTTCCCGGGGACTCAAGGGAGCAGCTTCCTGCTGATTCTGTGAGGTCACGAGGAGCATAGTGTTGGGAGGTGAGGGGAGTGACCGCCCTGGACGGCTGAATGGGGCAGGAGCCTCTCCCCCCATACCTCAGGATGTCATCTGGGGTGGCGTGATGAACAGATGTAGCCTGTAGGTGAACATTCGTGTGGAGAGGGCCCAGGCTGAGTGGGACTGACCCCGGGCAGCCCCCACAGGGGGTTCCCCTGCCCAGGTTTACAGGAGCCCCCCGAGTCTTCAGCCTGAAGGGGTTTCAGGGTGCTCTGCGCTGGGGGTTGGGCTGTGGGGCTCAGCTCTCTGCCCTGGGCTAGAATCAGAGCCGGTAAGACCACAGTCACTGACATTCATGACTGGCCCGATTAACTAACTCTGTCAGGCTCTGTGTGAACATTTCACACCCACAACAACCAGAGAGGCAGGTGCTCATCTGACCTCTAAGAGCCCCTGCTTTTTGTAATCAGCAGAGACAACGCTAAACTTTCCTGCCCAAAGACACGCGGTTATCAAGAGGCAGAATCCGCTCAGAGCGCCCAGAACCCACAGCTCAGGGTTTGTCCGCAGCTCCGCACCGCCCCCTTGTGGGCAGGGTCCGACCCCGCGGGACACAGGGACAGAGAAAGAGGGACGCTAGCTAGCTCAGCGTCCAAACCTCCTGATGGTTATACCTGAACAGCGACTAAGTCACCTAGAGAAGAGAGACCCTTCTGCGAGGGTCCTTCATGCAGCGCTGTTGAAGGGACTCAGGAGGTTTACACAGAACAAGTAGCAAGCTCTTACCATCACTGAGCATCTGGTTTTTAATTTAATTTAATTTTATTTTTATCTATTTTTTTTTTTTATCCTCACCCGAGGACATTTTTCCATTTTTTGTTCAGGTAGAGTGGGAGGGAGAGAGAGGAACAGAGAGAGAGAGAGAAACATCGAAGTGAAAGGGACACATCGAGTGGCTGCCACCCGCACAACCGACCAGGGCCAGGGACAAACTGCAACCAAGGCACGTGCCCTTAGCGGGAACCGAACCCGGATCTCTCCGGACCGCAGGCCGACGCTCCAACCGTTGAACCAAACCGGCCAGGGCTGGTTTTTAATTGTATTTCACTTAAATGTCAATGGCTACAGTGATGCGTGGTTACCAATTTGGACAGGACAGAGGTAGGGTATTTCCAACCTCACAGAAAGTTCCGCGGGTGGAGCAGTTCTGGGGGGAGCAGGTGAGGGTCCCAAGAGCGAGGGAGACCCGTGTGGGGGAACAGGGACTCGAAGCCTCCTCTGTCCAGCTCCGATCTTTCACAAATGTCTTCTTGATTCCTCACTCCTAGGAGCCACAGAGCCACGGCCACAAGACAGTGGTGAGTGATGGGGACAGTCGTCTGTGGACCTGGAGTGTGCCTCTTTTTTTTTTTTCCTCACCCGAGGACATTTTTTTGATATTTTGTTCAGATAGAGTGGGAGGGAGGGAGAGAGAGAGAAACATTGATGTGAAGGGACACATCGAGTGGCTGCCACCCGCACAACCAACCAGGGCCGGGGACAAACTGCAACCGAGGTACATGCCCTTAGCGGGAACCGAACCCGGGTCTTTCAGGACCGCAGGCCGACGCTCCAACCGCTGAACCAAACCGGCCAGGGCTGATTTTTAATTTTATTTCACTTAAATGTCAATGGCTACAGTGATGCGTGGTTACCAATTTGGACAGGACAGAGGTAGGGTATTTCCAACCTCACAGAAAGTTCCGCGGGTGGAGCAGTTCTGGGGGGAGCAGGTGAGGGTCCCAAGAGCGAGGGAGACCCGTGTGGGGGAACAGGGACTCGAAGCCTCCTCTGTCCAGCTCCGATCTTTCACAAATGTCTTCTTGATTCCTCACTCCTAGGAGCCACAGAGCCACGGCCACAAGACAGTGGTGAGTGATGGGGACAGTCGTCTGTGGACCTGGAGTGTGCCTCTTTTTTTTTTTTTCCTCACCCGAGGACATTTTTTTGATATTTTGTTCAGATAGAGTGGGAGGGAGGGAGAGAGAGAGAAACATTGATGTGAAGGGACACATCGAGTGGCTGCCACCCGCACAACCGACCAGGGCCGGGGACAAACTGCAACCGAGGTACGTGCCCTTAGCGGGAACCGAACCCGGGTCTCTCCGGACCGCAGGCCGACGCTCCAACCGCTGAGCCAAACCGGCCAGGGCTGGTTTTTAATTGTATTTCACTTAAATGTCAATGGCTACAGTGATGCGTGGTTACCAATTTGGACAGGACAGAGGTAGGGTATTTCCAACCTCACAGAAAGTTCCGCGGGTGGAGCAGTTCTGGGGGGAGCAGGTGAGGGTCCCAAGAGCGAGGGAGACCCGTGTGGGGGAACAGGGACTCGGAGCCTCCTCTGTCCAGCTCCGATCTTTGACAAATGTCTTCTTGATTCCTCACTCCTAGGAACCACAGAGCCACGGCCACAAGACAGTGGTGAGTGATGGGGACAGACGTCAGTGGACCTGGAGTGTGCCTCTTTTTTTTTTTTTAACCCTCACCCGAGGACATTTTTTTGATATTTTGTTCAGATAGAGTGGGAGGGAGGGAGAGAGAGAGAAACATCGATGTGAAGGGACACATCGAGTGGCTGCCACCCACACGACCAACCAGGGCCGGGGACAAACTGCAACCGAGGTACATGCCCTTAGCGGGAACCGAACCCGGGTCTCTCCGGACCGCAGGCCGACGCTCTAACCGCTGAGCCACACCGGCCAGGGCTGGAGTGTGCCTCTTGGGGAAGGGGGAAAAGAATGAGCTTCCAGCCCTGGCCGGTGTGGCTCAGCGGTTGGAGCACCGGCCTGCGGACCAGAGATTCCTGGGTTTGGTTCCCGCTAGGGGCATGTATCAAAAAAAAAAGAGCTGTTGTGTTGGTCATGCTCTAGTTCTGTGAACATCCTGAGGACGTCAGCACTCAGGACCCCGGTTGTGTAAAATGGGGATAAGAGTTCTCATGTCGCAGGACGACGAGGCGCCTGAAAGGTCCTATATATAAATGTGAACTGGACAAGCACCCAGCATGCGCAGGGTATGCAGTTAGTGCTCAGTCAATGCCTCCTGCAGGTACTTTGGTTCAATCTTCCCTGATTTCCCAGGCCATCTGACAGAATATGTTTATATTCTTGTTGGGATCTCTGTGGCCTTTGCCCTTGGCCTCCTCCTCCTGGTCCTCCTCCTAGTGCATCGTCGGCGTCAGAAACAACACGGTAGGTCTCAGGGTCAGGGTGGGGTGAGCTGGGAAGGCTGTCTGGGGTGCTAGGAAGGTGGCCTTCCTCCTAATTCACACCCTGACTGTCCTTAGGGTCCTCCCACAGCAAGAATAAAAAGCAGAGGCCCCCAGAGAGGTGAGGAACCCCTGGGAATGACCCGTGAACCCCCTCCCAGCTCTCTGCCTCCAGGTGCCCCCTCCCCCATGCTCACTTGCTCTTTGTCCTCAGGCTCGGCCCGGCTGCTGATATCACAGAGAGCACACCAGGTAAAGGGGCTTGGGGGAAGAGAAATGGGCATTGAGTACCATTCAGGAGACAAGGGGGGGCGTGTTTGGGAACATTATAGGATGTTCTAGATGGAGTGGGGCATGAAATCCCAACCTGTGAGGTTTCAGGCAAATTTGCCTCCAAAGGTCCACCCCAAAGAACTGACCACTGTTCTCTCCCCTCCAGATGTGGCCACAGTCTGTACACTTGCTGAGAAAAAGAGGGAGGCGCCCAGCCCAGTAAGTCCTTGTATTAGTCGCCGATTTCTGGGTAACAAAGTACCCCAACTTTAACAGCGTCACAACAACCATCTCAGTTTCTGGGGTCAGGAATTTGGGAGCAGATTAAATCTTCTGGGTGGTTCTGGCTCACGGACTCTCATGAGGCCGCTGTCACGGTGACCGGAGCCGCGTTCCTCGCAAGGCCTGACTGGGGCTGTGAAGTCCTTGTGTAAGATGACACACGCACAGGGCTGTGGGCAGAGGCCTCCGTTCCTCTGAGCATGGGCTTCTCCCCGGCAGCCAGCCTCCCCCAGAGGGCGGGATCCCTGAGAGGGAAGGGCACAATGTCTCTTGTGACCTCTCCATGGAGGTGACATGCCTTCACTTCTGCCATATTCTACTGGTGACGCAGACCACCTCTGAGTCTATGTGGGAGGGGACTACACAATGTGGATTCAGGAGGTGTGATCCCAGGACCACATGGAAGCTGGCTGTCAAAGTCTGTCCTTCCCACAGCCCCCTGCCTTGAGCCTCGGCCACGCTAACTTACCGTGGGTCTCTCCCTCAGAGCCCCGCTGCGGAAGAAAACCAGGAGGTGACATATGCCCAGCTGAACCACCGGACCCTCACCCAGAGAGCAGCCCAAGCCGCGTCCCCACAGTCCACAGAGCCCACAGCCGACTCCAACACGTATGCAGCCCTTGCCATACGCTA